CCGAAACGTCAGCTTTCCTGCTCCTCTGATGCTGCTTGGTCTGCTGTGTTCATTCAGCTCTACACGTTCTTATCTCAGATTCTCCAGCATTGGCAGTTCCTACTATCTCTGTTCACTATTTTTCATTACTTAACCAATTTTGCAACCGTGCTGCCAATGTCCCATTAATGCTATGGTCTTTAATTTTGCTAATAAATCTGTTGTGTATTACTTTATCAAACATCTTTTGAAATGCTGGATCCACCCAACAATCACACAACCACCAAGAGCTTGATCCAGTTAGTCAAACATGAATTTCCCTTAATAAATCTGTCCTGACATTAACTTATGATACTCTACTTTCAAAATGACAATTCATTTTGATCCAGATTGTCATCTCTGAAAGTCTCCCCACCTTCATGTTAAGCCACTTGTTCTGTAGTTAACAGGTTAGTCCTTCCTCTCCATATTTTGGGTCCTGCTATATTATTTACAATCCTCCAGTTCACTCATATCATTCCTCATATACTCAGGTCCGAGTGGAAAATTGTGACCAGAGTCCAGGCAGTTTCCACTCTTACTTCCCTCAGTAACCTGAGCTGTGCTCGATCTAACTTTTCTATTTTGAGGACAGTAAATCTTTTAGCATTTTCCTTTTACCTGTTTGCCCCATCCAATTATGTATTTTATATATGTTATCCAATTTCACTACTACATCATCTTCACTGCTACATTGCTAGCATCCTCTGTTCTTGCTCTGCCAAATGCAAAGTACTTCATTTGTTGAGTCAGCCATGCCCACTGCATCTGCAAAAAGGACTCCGTTTAGGATCTCTGATTATAATCATAGAATCCCCAGAGTGTAGAAGCAGGTTGTTCAGCCCATCAGTTCCGTACTGACCCTCTGAAAACATCAGACCCAGACTCACGCCCCCTACCCTATCCCCGCAACCCTGCATTTCTCATAGATAGCCTACCCAGCCTGCACATCCCTGGACACTATGGGAAATTTAGCATGGCCAATCCACCTAATCCTGCACATCTTCAGGCTGTGGGAGGAAACCGGAGCACCTGGTTGAAATCCACGCAAATATGGGAATAATGTGCGAACTCCATCCAGATAGTCACCCGAGAGTCAAATTCAGCCTGCGTCCCAGGCAGCCCCACTCCTTGTACTTTTGACTTGTCTTTTAACAACTTAAGTATGTAAGAAAAGTGTTCAAGTGTCCTGTTAAGTGCTGATATTTCTCAAATTCTGTTTTTGCCCCTTTTATTCTCTCTTTTTTAAGATTTCTCTGTACTGGGCCATCTTCCTTCATTGTCTTGAAAACATTGTATTAAAGACAATAACTAAATGCTTGTTTAACACTATTTAGAGATCAATAATGAATTTTTCCGGGCCCAGTGTCGCCAAGGCTAGTTCCTGGAAAGAAATTACATGTTGCAAAGTCATAAACTGAAAAGATTGAGGAATTTGAAGTTAGTTCTGGGCTCGTGCTGTGCTAAGAGAGCTCAGTGAGGGTGCAACTGAAGTCTTACTGCTGCCTGGCAGTATGTGAAGGAGAAAAATTGGTACCGTTTCTTTCCTAGATATGTCTGAGTAATTTTTGTTTTATGGGAAATTGTGTGTATTTCTGCACTTGTGGTTTGTTGGCATGTATTTCTATATATTTCTTTCTGCGAATGAAGATAGGTGCTACCCTTCATTTAGTTTAAGTGCCATCTTTGTAATTGGTGCCTACAGTGACGGCAAATACCTTACCCAGGACAAACTGGCAGGTCCAGGATAAGGGTGGATGGTAAGTGGCAGGGACTATAAATGGAAAATCAGAGCTTCCTCATCAGAGAATTAAATCTGGGGACAAATGCTTTTATCTTGGTATAGAAAAGATCTTTTAAAATAAGAGCCAGTTAATGTCCAATGGAATATTTTTCTTTGTTTGAATTATAATTTTATTGAAGTGATTAAAGGCAGGAAATGAATACTCTTACACAATTTGACTTCTGTACTGGCTGTGGGAAAAATGTTCTACCTCAATTATGTGTCCAAAGTCATGTATAAGGCACTGCTCTTTCCCTTTCATTCCCATGTGCACAGAAAGACAGGGATTAGTCACATGAGAACCACAGCTGTACAGTAGGAAACAATTACAAGTTCCTGACCTTGACTGACACATCTTCTGTCTCTCTGGACCGAATGTACCTCCTCAGTGGTTGCTCAAAACCTTCCAGCTGGTCCTTCAGGGGCTGCCTCCTGTTGAAGGCCTTTGTGTGCTGCATTGTGAATAAAACATGGATAATTACATCAACATAAAGCTCATCGAGTACATTTGATTAGACTTTATCCCACCATCAGAGCTTTGACTGTAACATTGAGCTCTTTCTGTCTCCACAACAAACAGACAGAATTGCTGGAGAAACTCAGCAGGTCTGGTAGCATCAGTGGAGAGAGAAACAGAGATAATGTTTCGAGTCAGGTCTGACTTCTCCAGAACTGAAGAACCGTTAACTCGGTTTCTCTCTCCACAGGTGCGGCCAGAGTGGCGGAGTTTCTCCAGCATTCTCTGCGTTTGTTTGAGATTTCCAGCATCTGCAGTATTTTGCATTTATTCTTGCTGTCTCCATCCTGTTTTCCATTTACAACCAGGACAGATTTGCCTGAAAATTTGCCTAGCCTGTATATCCCAACTTACCTTGACAAAGGGTTACGGCCCAAAGTGTTGACCTTCCTGCTCGTCAGATGCAGTGGCCTGAGACCACTATATCTATCTTATTTTTTCTATCTCTTCTTTTTACACTTCTCGGGTTTTTCCTCTTCAGTCGCTCCCACTTTCTGTTATCTAGTTATGCCTGCTTTTACTTCTCCCCTCTCAGACACTAACTCCTGCAACTTCTCACCCAAGCTCTATCACCATCCTTCCCCATTCCTGTATCTTCCTACATTCCCGGGTTAGTAGATTTGACTTCCTCTTGTATAAACCCACAACCTCCATCTGTGCCTCCCTTGCTGAAGGCCCCCATTCATTCTATTAAGCTGGAGGGGGTTCAGAAGAGATTTGCCAGCATGTTGCCGAGACTATAGGGTTTCACTTCTAAGGAGAGGCTGGGACATTTTTCACTGGAGCATATGATGTTGAGGAGTGACCTTATAGAGGTCTGTAAAATCATGAGGGGTATAGAAAAGGTTGAATGGCAGGTGTCTTTTCCCTCTGGTGGGAGATTTCAAGACTAGTGGCATATTTTTAAGGAGACAGGAGAAAAATTTGAAAAGGACATGAGGGGAAGTTTGTTTTTTTACACAGAGTGGTTCGTGTGTGAAATGAACTTCCAGAGGGAGTGGTGGATGCGGGTACAGTTACAATGTTTACAAGACATTTAGTTAAGTACATGTATAGAAACGTTCGGGGGTATATCAGCCAAGTGCAGGCAGGTAGGATTAATTTAACTTGTGATAATGGTCAGCATGGACTAGCTGGACTGAAGGTTCTGTTTCTGTGCTGTATGACTCTATCTCAAACTCCCTTCCAACTCTCTTGCCTTTCTCTCCCAAGCCAGCACAACTGTTGCAGGCCAATCTTGCTAACCTCCGTCACCTACCTCCACTGGACATGTGAATGATGGCAACCAATCAATTCTGTCTGCAAACTCCTTTCAGAATATCGTTTTATAAGAGGTCCTGGCATCCATAAACCTGATGGTGAACGACTGCAATGGAACCATGGCCTTGATGGAAACTTGGTTCAAGGATGGCAATTCCTCAACCCTTCCTGAAACCCACTTACTGAAAACATTACCACAGCAGCTATAATTACAATCCATTTTCATCTTTCCCCTTAAGACCTTGCCACCTTCTTTTCCTTTTGAACATCCCATCTTGTTCACCCCTTTCATCCAGAGTCTTGACATCCTCATGCACTGACACCCACCCAAGGCCCATGCCAAATTTCTTACTCTAACATCTTTATTTCCCCTCAGACTTTGCTGAGATACCTCTCATCGTGAGGGATTTCAAATTATTTAGCCCTCCCTTTTCTGAGTTAGAACAAAAAAAATTGTAGCCTGGTCTGCCATTTGATAAGTAATGTGGTCAGTATTGTGCAAGAAGATGACATTCAGCCCATCGAGGCCCTTTGTAGAGCAATTCAATCAGCCGCATTCTCCTCTGTCTATCTGCCCTTTGTCCCGCAATTCTTTAAATATTTATCTAATTTCCTTTTGAAATCTTTGTGTCCCCCCTATTACCTTGCAGACAATGAGTTCTTCCTCTCAACCCCTGTAATGATTGCAATGAGGTCATCCAGGTGGACTCGATAGAATAGGAGTTCCCTGACTGGGGCTGTTAATCTGGTCCAATCAGGGAGGCTTGGCTGACATGACAGGATGAATATCGGGGATACTGAACCCCTGAATGACTGCCTCAGTGAGACACAGTGTTATTGTCAAAGGTTATGCATTTGTAAATGAAGGCTGATTGGAGATGGGATGCTGGGCTCTCAGCAGTTATTTCACCCCCAGCATCTCATGCCTAAAGTCATAATTTTATGTCCCCTTCTCCTTACATCATCAGCTCTTAGGAACAGCGTTTCTTTGTCTTTCGCATGTCTGATTCTGTTGTAATCTTGTACAGCTCTATCAAATCTCCCCACAATTTCCTTCACTCCAAAGAGAACAATCCCAGCTCCCTCAAATGAAGCTTGTGGTTAAAACCCTTCATCTCTGGAAAAATTTTGGTCGATCTCTTCTACACTCTCTAAAGGATCCTTGCTCACTGCACTTTCCCACGCAATTTCCACATTCTTCGATTCTGTCCAAGTCTACCAATCTCTGACTTGAACATACTCAACGATTAAGCATTTACAGTCCTCTGGGCGTACAGAATTCCAATGCTTCACAACCTTCTGAGTAAACCGAATGTCTCCTTCTCTTAGTCCTCATTGACTGATTGATTCCTTATCCGGAGAATATGGGCAGAATTGCTCCATTTTCAGTTGAAGCGCTTTGTTGAGTGAGACGTGGGGAGTCATTTTTTTTCCAGCTTAGGGCCACAGGAGGCCATGCCACCAGTCAAGCCAACCTCAACAGATTGCAGCCCGGGTCAATAGTATGTCCTGAGTGAAGACAGACCCTCAGCGCCGCAGGAAGAAACTCAATGATCTGCTAAGGGAAATGCCACCATCTTCGCTCTGCTACCTCACACTCATAGGGCTACCACTCACTCCAACTGTGCCACCGCACATACATCTCACTAAGACTCATGCAATACAACCCTCACTATTGCATGCATCATGCTCACTTGTTCACTCTTACTGGTCACATCCTGCCAAATTACTAACTCTTCCTGCCCTCTGTACTTCCCACTCACTCACCTGCTTGTGAGACACCGTTAAGTGCTATTCCATCCATCCTTCTTCCCATCCTCTCTCACACAGACTGGTGTCTGAACAGTGTGCTGACTAATACACCTGTAATCACAAACTGCTTGCACATGATCTGGAGACCAACGGTGCCCACTACTCAGATTGCAAGGATCTCTGGACTTTCGGAGAACCAAATGTCTGACAGTGTGGCCAATCCCCTGAATGGCAATTGACGAAGCTCTTGACAGACTGTAGTGGAACCCACTCACTGGCTGTAGTTCTCCTTCACCTGGCTAAGGAATAGTCCTCCTTAACTTTCACACATGGCCACTCACTTGAATCTGATTTGTGTGTCTGCCATGTAAACTGCTGGCACATGCAGCAGATGGCACGTTGACATAGCATGGTGCCACTGTCCACCCCCCTTGCCTGGTCAGTACTCCACACCATCTCAAGCTGCCTGCCTCTTCCTCTGAGCTAAATAGCAATCCACAAAGGCTGACAGCCCATAACTGGGCATTAAGAGAGCAATATGACCCACACAAAGGCCGGCAGCCTGTACATCAGGACTGAAGTCACTAAATGTGTGCTAAGAAAGCAAGTGAGATAAAGAGAGGCTGGCAGCTTACGAACACAAGAACTAAGAGGAGGAGAAGGCAATTCAGCTGCTTGAGCTTGCTCCAACGTTTCATATATTAATAGCTAAACTCATCTTGGCCTCAGGTCCACTTTCCTGTCTGCTTCCCATACCTCTTTAACTAATTAAAAATCTTTCTTTTCCTTAAATGAATTCTGTATTCCTGGTATGCACGGTACTCTGGGGTAGGGAATTCCACAGATTGACAACCCTCAGAGAAGTCATTCTTCCTAATTTCTGTTGTAAATCTGCCAACCTTAGCTGAAAACCCATTGCAAATTTCCCCACAAGGGGAACATGCCCTCTACAACGACCTTGTTAATCCCCTTTAGCGTCATCATATCTCTGATATGCAAAGTGAGTGAGTGCTAAGAAAGCAAACTAAAAGCCACAAGATGTGTGTGTCTCTGAGTGTGAAGTGACCCTGGTAGAGGCGAGGCATAGGTGACCCTAAGCAAAGTATTGAAAGTTGTGAGAATTAGTCCATGAGCAGGCATGATACAGTGAGGCTGGCAGTGTGCCAATGCCAACTATGTGATGAAGGATTGAGGACGATGGTGTCCAATACAAGGCAGGGACATTGCTGTGGAGAAACAAAGATTCCAAAGGTCAGAGAGTCATTGCAGGAACGTAGAGTGGAGTTCCATGTCGGGACTGTATAGAAATCCTGACGCAGCTAAATACCAGGGAAATTGACTGGGAAGTGGAAAATTCCCCTGTGCCTGGAACCCTTTGAAATAGTCCCCACGAAGTCAGAGTTCAGACAGAATTCACATAAGCTTAATGATTACCCAGGAAAAGTTAAAAGGTTTAAAAACCTGCTCCAAATCCTAGTAACTATTAAACTGAAACAATGGCTCAGCACTGATGCCAAAATGACATTCCATCCAGTCCCTGGCATGCCCCAGATCTGTAACTTGCACCCTGCCCCCCTGACATCATTAGACTCTTATTTCCAGATTTTATGGAATTCAAATTCCACAATCTGCTGTGCCAGGATTTGAACCCAGGTTCCCAGAACATTATTTGGGTCTCTGGATTAACAATCCACTGATAATACCACTAGACCATTGCCTCCCCTATATTGAACTCAATGATGCAACTTATGATGGTATAAGACAAAGGTAAGGCCGACTATTTCCTACCTTTGCTATTTTAGATTTCCAGCATCCAAATGATTTTGCTTTTGTATAATCTGGTAGCTAGAGGATCCAGTCCAAGATACATTTGAAAGGCTAGGCTTGAATCTGTTGCAGTTTAAAAGATTCAGGGATGATTTC